CTCTCCTGGGCAAGTCCCTAGCAAGTTTGCTGGCGTGACAGTTTCACCTTAAAAGCCTTCAAACTCCTCTTCATCATCTGATATTAAAAGTTCATCAACGACATCTTGGTGCCATGATAGGGATGATAGGGGTTTGACTGGTCGACATTTTCTATGCTGTACTGTACAATGGGGCAGTATTGTGGTTGGCTGTTGGCTGTATACAAAGCCTGATTTGATTGGTCCCTGCTCCCTGTTTGCCCGCCCTGTCACTATAGCAGTCTGGTCCACCCTTGCATCAGCATCTCCCTGGGACCTCACTAGTGCGCAAGTGCGAGCTCTTCAACATTCTAACAGGCACCATGATAGCGCAAAATCGCGAATCTTCAATGCATATGTAAAGAAATATACGGTAACCCGAATTTACCACACTCGCAAAATCGCACACAGCCAACCATACACCCAGTATGGTATCGCGATTCGTGATTTTGCGCTATCATACTGGGTGTATGGTCGGCTGTGTGCGATTTTGCGAGTGTGGTAAAATCGCATAACAGCAAAATCGCATAACAGCCGAGCGTACACCCAGCAGCGCTGCTGATGCCTGAACGGTATGTGGAATGAAGTGGGCGGGCATCGGGAGGCCACTATGGCACGGGGCAAGCACTATGGGCAGTCTATCTGAAGTGTACCTGGCGTATAAGACGACCCCCCACTTGGAGGCATATTTTTCAGGGCCAAAAAATCGTCTTATACGCTGGCAAATACGGTAAGTGGCGGCAGCAACAGAATATGTCTGAAGAGCAAGTACTGGTACAACATACCTTTGAAGCCGTAAGAAGCCAGCGTCGTTGACAACAGGGAAATGGCGAATAGCGATGTTAAAATAGTTCTTCTAATTAATGTCCTTTCAACGTGCACAAATCTGTGCACTGGGCCACTAGTTTAAATTATAAAAACCCACCAAACTCTTTTGATTTCAAGATGGTCTTGCATGTATCTAAAGTTATGTTTTGACATTCCCATTCTGTATGTAAAATATGGTACTTAGTTCATAATTCAGATTTTCAGTGAACAGAGGCTCAAGAGCAGTGGTCACCAACCGGTGGTTGGTGAGGTCCGAAAGGTTGGCGACCGCTGCTCAAGAGTATTTAACTCATACATTAAAACTACCTATTAACCCATAAAGCCAAAATGGTAATACTCTAGTTGACTGAGCATCAGGGTAAACTCTAGTTTTAATACAACTTTAAACTTTGCTCTGATCCTATAGTGCTTCCCTTTGTCCTTGGTAGCACAACACAGATAATCAGAGTCATAAGAGGCTCAATTAAAATCTTCCTTTGTAGCTGGAAGCCAAGGAGAGACACAAGTGCAAGTCTTTGGGCTCTCAGCTAGTGTACCCCTTCTTCCTGCCAAGCCCAGGGATGCAGGAGCGTCTAGACCAGCGGTTCTCAACCTGTGGGTCGTGATCCCTTTGGTGGTCAAACGACCCTTTCACAGGGGTCGCCTAAGACCATCCTGCATATCAGATACTTACATTACAATTCATAACAGTAGCAACATGACAGTTATGAAGTAGCAATGAAAATAATTTTATGGTTGGTCACAGCATGAGGAACTGTATTTAAAGGGCCAGAAGGTTGAGAACCACTGGTCTAGACACTATGAGGATGAGAGCCAAATGCAAAGGAGGGTGAAGCAGGAAAATAGGAGGTGCCTATTAGGGGTCCCCGATGACACCCTTATATGACTGCCCTGAACATGCAGGGACTACTTCCAGATTCAAAAGAAAAACAAAACCTCTAAGGCACCCTGTGCTTGTGGCCAAACACTATCTTAATATTGATCCTGAAACAACTGCCTTTTTTTTTTAATCCTCACCCAAGGATATTTTTTTCATTGACTTTTAGAGAGAGTGGAAGGGAGAGAAGTGGGGGGAGGGAAGAGACACATCAATGTTGAGAAAGACACATCCATTGGCTGCCTCCTGACCGGGCTGGGGATCAAACCTGCAACAGAGGTACGTGCCCTTGACCAGAACTGACCCTTTGGTCCTGAAGATGGTGCTCTAACTGCTGAGCCAAACCAGCCAGGGCACAACAGCCTCTTAAAATAAAGGGCGAACACTTAAAGGTGTGATAGATATAGCAGTCAGTAACTTATGTCCAAAGGACTCAAGGCACTTCCTGAAATCTCATTTATAACTTTAACATACCAGGAAATACGTGGTCTCATATGTTTTTGGAAGAACCCACATAATAGCTACTTCTGTCAGCCAAATAATGAAAACTTCATAAATGCTAAAAACCTGCCAGCTATAGAAGTGAATGTCACATAAGGATGGATAAGAGAGT